CTCTGGGATCACAGTGCAGCTTCTTTCACTAGACCACCAGAGCTCTCTGAGGATCATATTTTAAGTGCCTTCCAAACTGGGAGCCTTAACTTAACAACATTATATTCATGTTCCGCTGCTATTAATAAAGATTTCACACAGGCCATTTATTTCAGAATTGGATGACCTATCTTATTTCCTATTCTGTTTTAAGTCTGGAAACTTCTCTGAAACAGGGCCACAGTGGGTGACCCTGCTGGTGTTTGAAGCAACGGGCCAGTATCACAGTAACATGGAAGCCTCCACTGTATGACATGGCGACAGAGAAACTGAAATTGTGGGTTAGTATTGTATCAGAGCTTAAATTCTAAAGCACTTGATTTGTGCAAGACTGACATCTGTCATGGGAGCACTATCTTCATTTTGAATCTTAATATAAATCGAGACATTCTTTGAGTTCTTTTAACCATTGAACCAGCCACGTAGCTCTGCTTAGATAAGTCCAGGGAATGGCAACTTGCCCTCAGGAGAATGTAGTTGAAAGTAGATTACAATTCCCTGGAAACACCAAGGAAGAACAGTTTGTCCCTGGATTTGTACAAAAAGCTAAGGAACTCACCTAAGCATGTCTTAATTACCAACTAGGAAAAAAAATTCCAAAAACCCCAAACAACGTTAAGTCAGAATCTACTCATAGTTGACCCTCCAACAGATTTTAAGATGCAGGCCATGGTCTTTGCAATTACTTGGCTATGCTTTAGAGACTGGACAATGAATGACTAAAGATGACAGAAGAAGAATCCATGCCTTTGAATTGTGCTGATGAAAAGTCTCAAATATACCATGGATGACCAAGAAAACAAACAGGTCTGTCTTAGAGAGGGTGAAACCATGTTTCTCCAAAGACAAATCCTTGGAGAAAGGACATCATGATCTGAAGGGTGGAGGGACAGCACAGGAGAGGAAGACCCTGATAAGATGGATTGATACAGTAACTGGGACAATGTGGGTGGGTGTGTGGGAATTAGTGAAACTGGCTCAGGGCAGGGCAAGGTTCACAGCTGCAGTACTTACATAGGGTCACAATGGGTGACAGGTGATTCAACAGCACATGAAAACAAATAGCACAGGATGAGACTGCCCATTCTCCTGAGGAACAGCTGATGGATTCAAACTACCTGCCTGTGAGTTGGCAGCAACCTACCTACAAAAAGTAGACATGTGCTTAAATGTTGGGGTCCTGGTATACATGGCTCAGTATTCATAGTCATGAGACACACTCTAACCATAGTAATGTCAGAATCACATTATGCTGAGTGAAATATCTCAGTCACAAAAGGACAAATACTATATGGTACCACTGTTGTAGAATGAGGCTGACATCAGGGTGGGGGTAAAACTGAGGAAAACTGGATAAATTATGTTTACTGCATTGAAGCCAATGAGGGAGAGAATAGTTTAAAAGTAATATATCTTAGGGCATTATGATTATCATAAGAGTCCAGAATGAGGGTTGCAGAGTGGAGTATACTCAG